ACTAACTGCAGTTTTATTGCGCGCCCCTCAGCTGAGAACAGATTCTACGCTTGGGGGGTGGGGGAGGTTTCTTTGCGACAGCCTCCCAATTTATCCCTATCACTGCAGGGTTGACGTCGTGTCTTATGGCGTTGCTTTATACCGTTGTTTTTGAGTAAGCTGATGGCGTTGAGTATTTCGCCTGATTACTCCCAATTAGTGATCGCATGCCCACTTTGCTGATTACATCTGTTGATTAGTAGAACATCAGGCTATGCGGTAGTTTGGACGTTGTAGGCGATTAGGTCAAACAATGTTCCGAGGAGATGGACGCGAGTATATTTTCACAATAAGGCTGAATTGCGCTTTTTCTACTTCAATCCCTTTCCACACAATTGCAAGGAAGGCCAGAACGGGAGTGGATGTGGGGGCTGTGGCTGGCATACATAAATGAGTCGTCTGCGCATATTAATTGCAACCTGGCTTAATTTAGGGACAAACAAAAGAATAACGCAAGTGCGGGTGCCGTAACATTACGGAGGAGCCTAAGCCTCAGTTCAGAGTAGTGTCGAGTTGTTCCGCCGATTAACAGACTACGCCAAGATTATGTGCATGGCCTGATTTTTTTTATTAGAACAGGGTTATGTGTATGCCGTATAACAGATGGTCTGGCGTTAATTCCAGAAGAGTTCTTTTGGGATGATTATTCTCAGAAAATAGGTGTCACCTTACGTTAGACGCAAGAAGGTCCAATTTTTGGAGTCGACAACGTAAACGCTCCCCAACAGAGAAGTCATGGAAGGCTGATAAGTTTAAATAAGCTTTTACCGCGAGAAAGAACTCAAAAAGGTCTCTGTAAGTATGCAAGTGCTCTTCAAAAATAAAAGATTGACGTTCACTTGCACCTGGACATCACACTTTTGCATTATATAAATTCAGGCATACTGTTCGAGGCTGTTTGCCAGAAAATTGATATATTTTGGCCCGAAATAGTATGACATCAAGTTCGTACAAATAGTTTGTCCGTGAATTGAACAACAGAGTAGGATGGTAAGTAAAGGCTGATGAGAATTAGCACACACCATCGTTACAGAAGGGCATAGACCGCTCCTGACATGCTAGGACTTCCCTATGCTACAAACAATGATACGAATTTCTATCTGTAGTTGAGTGCGGACGCTATCTAAATTTCATAGCCGTAATAGAAGGGATTTCAACTGTCTACAGACTCTGACAAATTAGAAAAATGATCAGAAAATCTAGATTTGAACGCAGTGCTCTAGGACTATATTATAAACCAAATACTTGCTCGCTTGTGAATTCAAAAGGGTGGGTGGCGAGCATACGTATACTTTCGATGAATTCACATTGGGCTAATTAAATTTATATAGGAAGGGGTAAATGGTAAATGATAAATTGCAAGTAATTATGCTCATAGTTACAGGCAAATTAATCATGAGAATCTGGGGAGGGGTTTGGGGTTGGAAAAAGGTGGCTAATTACGCGGCTTTAAGGGGGAAAGTGTGGAAAGTGCCGGTATTTATGTGGCCGTTTGTTAATGTATATACTGGACATATGTCATCTATACGGAAGCTTGCTGGATAAAATATTATGACTGCAGTTCGGCAGCCGCATTTTCGTTTAGAGTGTTATATTACAAGTAGATTGGTCCCGGGTGTTATCCGACAGGTGTTGCACTGCTAAAGACGACGTGTATCGCTATCTACCAAGATGGGGGCAGGGCCGGGTTACTAGTTAATCTGCTTATTGTGAAGCAGACTTTCGAAGCACTCAACCTCTCCCAATTGCAAAACAACGTTAATGCTAG